ATCAAAGAAGATGCCTCCTAAACCAGCCGTAGTAGAAAAGAAAGGCGAGAACAGTTTTGAACTGTGTGCTACACAAAAACAAATGAATCAAAAGTCATGACTACTATGCTGTCTCGACAACAAACAATTACATGTCACTATAACGTCGTGGCAAACATCAGTATATATAACATGATTAAGATCATAGAAACTGTTTAATCCCTAGTAAAAACTGTTTAATTCTAGTATAACATAGACGACAAAACAAATGAAGCCCCCATCTTTAATTTAATAAGAAAACCAAAAGGAAAAAAAATGAATTGCCAAAACCCGGTATTGTTTAGTAGATTGTTAGATCAACAGAAACAAATATATGTCACTATAGCATCATGGCAAACAAATATATATAACATGATATAACGTCATATAAACTGTTTAATCCCTAGCTAGTAAAAGCTGTTTAATTCTAGTATAACACCTCTAGATAGATAACAAAACAAAGCAAAACAAAAACAATTGAAGCCCCAATACTTTAWTGCAATAAGAAAAGCAAAACGAAAAATTGAATTGCCKAAACYCGGGATTGTTYAGTAGASYTCCTACRAACTCTTYGGATTTGAACCAGGGACCTTCASATCTTCAGTCTGACGCTCTCCCAACTGAGSTATTTCGGAAGATGTGCGATTATTGGGTTGTTGCGGTCTGCGGTAGTTTTTTTTGCGAGGAGAATGAAGCGTGTTATCAAACGGAAAATGTTTGTTTTTATCTATGTTTTGTTCCTGTTTGATTTGGCATTTGTTTGAATTCGATACAGCATAGTAGTCACGAGTTTCGATTCATTTCATAAATTAGTACCTTTTAGAGGTCAAAAATCATTAGTTTTCTTTAGGGAGTAGTTTGACAGGATCCCCATGCACCCTTCTATATATCGGAGTACTCCCTATCCCTCGGTGACAGCGTGGTTGAGCCGTTCCTCGCATGTTTGACGTTTCATTCCTTAGAAATGTTTACAAACCAAGCACTCAATTGTTTTAACGTTTTCTAGTTATCATTTATTGGTTGACAAGTTGCACTACCTAAAAKTTTTAACTCGTCCGTACACAACACTCATCTTTGTTATTCTAACTTGCTATTTACATCAGATTAACAATAGAAAAGCACATCTTCTCACAAGTATTTAAAAACATTTTGCATTATTGTTGCGTCATAACGTGGTGTATATAAATTCAGCGTCAAGGATATAGAGGATCATGTATGGCTCAGCTTCCTGGAGGGTGATTCTGTTCGAGCATAAACTTGTCGAAATCTTGTCTCATCTCTTCTGTGAATGCTTCATCTTCATCGCCATTCTCACTGTCAAGTAACACATTGATAAGGTTGATTCATTAA